CATGCTGAGATTAGGTGTAGTTTTAGGTAGTCGCCGTAGTCCATCGAAGCAAGTGGTCTACCTCCGTGGATTACGCTGGTTGGGAAATGAATTACGCCTGTCACCAGATAGATTGCCACGGCGAGCGATGTTTCCCGAGATAGGTAGCGGTTGGAAAATGGCCAAGGGTGGTCAAACGAAGACCTAGTGTAAGGGTATGAAAACCCTAACTAGGAGACTTGGTCACATAGGTCCCGTTAGGCTCCCTGGTTGGAGACCCCGAGATCTTGGTCACCGATGGTTAGAGACACTTAACGATATGACTGGTTGTCGCAAACAGTGGCACTCATGCATATACTCATTATTCTCCTAATACCATTCTATACGAATTCTCTATCTTCCGCTTGAATTTTCTCCCAATACTCCAAATTTCATTCTGTTATTTTATCCAACTAGGCGACCGAAAGGCTGCAACGAAAACCGGCCCACGAGAGTGCATCGTTAATGATTGTAAAAACTGTACTGAGTTGAAAGTCATCTCTGTGAACAAATATAAAAAGTTATTTCTGTTATGTTCGGACTAGCCGTACGAATGACACGAGTGACTCTTGCTTAACCCCACACGATAACGTGAAGAGAAAACACAGCTTGAGATCACAGTCAGTGTGCATTCGTTCAGTTAGATTTCGATACGCAACAATGTAGCACAATCACCTATACGAGAAGACTGCCCGGGACGTCCCAGTCGAATTGTGAACTTGGCATATCGATTGATCTATTCAATCGGGCTCAGCTTGTCTGGAGCGTTGCGAGCGTACGTGATCTGACGGGTTGTTTGAGCTGCGTGCTAACAATTTCGTCAGCGCTGTGGGAAGCCAGATTGGATAAGGTCGTATTGCTGATCATAAGCAGCTGTAATATTGCATTTAAATGAGATACAATAGTTCTTCAAACTCATAGGGGGTTCTTTGGTTTACAATCACAAAGTGGGGTCAAGTTACCACCTGACATTGTAGAGATATGCGTTTCAGCTAGAACATTTTCACTTTCCATTGTCTATTCGATTTCGTTTTTTCACAATAACCTCACTGGATTGTGCTTTTCTCTGAATGACTCCAAGCGCGTTCTTCCGGTCAGGATGATCATCGATCGATTTTTTTTTCAATCCGTCCATCGTACACTATGTGCGTGCTTCTCGATGCTTAGATTGTCTGAAGCAGTTGACAAACTGTGTCCCCCGAAAGCTTTTCTAGCCCACTTGTATAAATGTCGTATGTCTTTTTACATCTCTTTATTTATTTATTTATTGAATAAACATAGGCTGCCTGGAGAAAATACAGAGATATAAGGAAAACGGAAGGCGGTGAAGCGGCTTTAATTCAGGTCACAAGTTAGTGACCATGAACCACTTGACCATCACCGCGTACAAGCATTGTACAAGCATTCATGTCTTAATCGTGAGGTAGGAACGGTACAATTTTCACGTATCACTTTGGGTATGGTTCCCGAAATCGCCCGGTTGTGTTGTACCATGGTATTTCATATCCTATTCTCCCTCGGTACGATCAATAAATTGTATTTATTTCGTGTGTTTTTCTCTCTCTCTGGTAGCCGATTCTTTTGCGAGCACATGCGGAATTCAAAACTCAATTGCGTCGCCGACTGGGTGAATTGAATATTATAGCGGACGGTGGACCAATGCAAAGGTTAGTTAGTTATTGTACCGTGTGCCTGACAAATGGGCTCCTCTCCACCCCCCCATCCCGAAATAATGCCTGGAACTCATCTGTTATGAAAATTGAATGATTCTCGGAACGGAAATCGGTGATCGGAATCTCCAGTTCGGATGGAGGTTCGAAGATTGTGGTCACAAGATCGCTATTGTTTCATCCACATTTCCATTGATCACACGCATTATTCACTCCACACACCCATACATCTGAATTGTGTAGGGTGACCAAGTGACCGGAATACGAAGTGGAACTATTGTCAAACAGGTTCCCCATGAGTCGGGGTTAAAGATAAACTCACAAGGCAAAGCAAACAAAAAAACTCCATGAACCCAAAAAATCCGATAAGGTACAAGCACTCACGTTATAACATTACTGGTGCAATTATCAAGCGTCACACCAACTCCTTCCCACGAGGAACATTGTCCTCGGTTTTCACCCGAGCAAGGTTAGGGCGATTAGGTGGGGAACGATAGACTATCATGTCCGCAAGTCGAATATATATATATATATATATAATGGCAAGGTTGGTTCGTTTGATGCAGTATGTCAAGATTAGGTTCTCCACCCCCGAAGCCGCTGGACAAAGACGAGTGAAGCTGGAATATTTGCAGTCTTTCGGAGTATGTCTTCAAATATTGGGGCTTTATTCGTCTCGCAACAAACGTATATATGTTGGTCATGTTATTGTGTGACGAAATGTTTATAAGCAGCTCGAACATGTGATAAAAAGATGATCATCAAATTTATGTTTTTTATACTTTTTTCAATCTGCAACCGTTCTACCTGTATTGATTGATTTTTTACCAAGATTGACCTTCCTGTTTCTTCATTTCAGTTTGGTCGATCTTGAACTCACATTCTACACGAACCAATTACGCGCCCTGGTACCCGAACTGTCCAAATTCGAGGAGGACTTCTCTGATGTGTGGCCATCGACCTGATTGACCGATAGGTACATCCGCGGCTCACATTCGAACTGAGCCGCTTCGTACAAGACCTCTCTGGCCAAAAAAATACGGCAGACGCACGCTTTGTTTGGTGTCCTCGAACAAGGCCAGGGGGACACCGTACACAGAAGAACAATTTGAAAAACTCGCGGTGTTGCAACTTTCCTGCACGATCAGTCTTTCATTTTCTCCCGTGTGTTGTGTTGTACTGTTTTTTTTTTTCCTTCTGCGGTTACTTTCCCTTTGTGATTCCCCACCGGCTTGTATCTTGATCATCTGATCACATTGTTTCTGTGCCCCCATCACCACCCTCATTCCTCTCGCCTTAATTCCCCCTCCCCCCCCTTGAAACCGCATTCCCCCATCCACTCACCTGTGTGCTTTTGTGTCTCCGCTTTACGCGGTCAGCGATTTGACTATTCTAATTTTCCCCTTACTGATCCCACACGCGTTGTTGCATCCCTTGCGCAATCCGACTTCGTTCCATGTAAAACCATATCCACCGGTCCTCATTTCATCCCCGGCCAACAACTCTCGTCCGAATGTCTGCATATTTTTGACCAGTGAACAACGCGATTTGTGGTAGATGGTGTACAACGCCATGATATATCATTGCTCCGGCTTTTCTGTGATCTGTTTCTTTTTGGTTTGTTTTGTTTTGTTCTAATTTCCGGGCTCGTGACTGTTGGATATCATTCTTCCGGTTGGTACGAACTAAGACTGTTTGATCGAGTGCAAATCAATGGAATCTCAGTCACTGGTGGCGGCGCAGTAGTTTAATCGCTGTCCGCGGCGTGCTTTGGATCCGATGGTTCGAGGTTCGAGCCCCGCCCTAGCCACGCACCTTTGTTGTCGTCCACTTCAGTACCACGCCCAACCTAGTGTGATTTGCCACTCCAAATCCCGGGACTTAGGTTACCGGTTTCCACGAGGGATCCGCAGGTCTTCGTGACTATAGGGATAGTCTCGCCTGTTGTTCACTTCAAAAATGTGTTTAATTTAAAAAGTAAAGCCAGAATCGTTTCGCGTTCAATATTGATACCCTTCAAGCGTCAGTAGGTCATGGGTCAAGATCGCTTGAAACTTACTTCTCTTGCACAATGTTCATCCTGTTATAAATTTAGTTTACACCTCTCTAAGAGCATCATACTGGAGACTGTTTACAATGAAAACTGTTAGTCATTAAGGTTATTTTTTCCGCTCCCTGAAGTACTCGCAATGTTCATACTGGATTCTCGTTCGAACTCTATCTTTCCCTGCCAGGGATCAAATGTAATCTTGTGTGAAATCACGTTTGTGTATGCGAGATGACACAATCACATGATCCGTCAGCACGACATCCTGCTGTCTCTGAAGGGTCCAATATATACAGCATCTCAGCCAATGCTGCTCTACGGTGCCGAGACTTTCTCACTATGGGAACAGGATGAAAACAGATTGTCGTTGTTCGAACACCGCTATCTATCTACGTCGGATTGGGGAACCGGACGAGCAATTCTGAGGTTAGGCGTAGAGTTTTAGGTAGTCGTGAGGGTCCACTAGAGCAAGTAGTTGACCTCCATAGGTTACGCTGGTTGGGACATGTGTCACTTGTGTCTCCAGTTAGGTTAGCATCCACACATACGAAGGTGTCTCGTATTGTGTTTTGCAAATTTTATATATGTACTGGTTCGAGAAATTCTACTAGCCATTGGGCAGTAGCGTGATAGGCTGAGTTCGTCATGGACAGTGTGGAACGAAGAGGTAAGCCAGGTTTGTGAATTTTTGATAAAACATAAAGCCGAGGCATGTTGGAACCCACCGGTTTGTATTTTTCAAAAAGGTCCGCTGATATTTGTCCTTGGTCGCTGAACATCTTCAGTGTTCCTGTGATTTCCTTTTCGGTTTTCTCAGTTTGGTCGACTGAATTTTGATTCATTCAGCAATGAGGTTACCATTTTAGAAATGTATACTTCACAATCCATTACAACAATGCCAGCTCCTTTTTCGGGTCTACTCAGGAGAATTCGTGGGTCTCTTCGTAGTTCTTCAAGTGCATCAAAATACTTCCGTGTAAGAGGGCCTCGATTGTGAGCTTGGTAACGCCGAAATTGATAGCAAGTTGTGACTAACGATGATTTGAATCGTTCTAAATCTTCAATCGATTTAGGTGCGAGATCAGTCGTTTGCCCAACCAAGACTGAATGGTAATTCCAGTTCCGTTCGAATGACTTTGCGACTAGGACAGGAGAATTTGGAACCGAGAGACAATGCTTCGATTGCAAGGCGACTTATTTCAACACTGGAAAAATTGTGAACGTACCGCTCCGGTCTGTTTGGAAAATGGGCTTGAGGTGTGACGGGACTCAATGTTCGATTCAATTCCTGGATGTTAATTTAACGACACACTTGGATGGCTCCATTCAGCGGAAGGTGCATTGAAAAGCCACATGGAACGGACAGTACACAAACTTCCATAGTTTTGTACTGCTCGCTTACAACGTTACTTATTGTACCGTCTTCTATTCAGAGCAAGATACGTCTGCTCAGAAGACACTTTAGAAACAGAGTTAGCAGTTGTGCGAAAGACGCTGTCAGAAAATGGCTACCCGAAAATGTTCATCAATCGCAACTGGTCTGAAAGAATAAAACATGTCGCAGATAGAGCTGAGAAGATAATCAAACTTCCGTTCAAAGGAGATCCAGCAACTGAAAGGGTTAGTACAGTTCTGAGTGCCGCAGTCAAAACAACGTTCAATGCTGTCAAACTCAGATGCGTGTCCTCGACATCACCCGCCATCCGATACTACAGGGCAGCTATCAAAGCGCATTAAGGAACATCACCCCACTTGGCTCAGGCAGAGGAATCGGAGTTATTTCCAGTTCCATTATTGCACATTTGGTCGAAACTGGACATAAGGTGGATACTAAATGGGCTTTCACCATCATTTATCGCATCCTACAACACAAATCCAAGGCTGTTCAAATTAAAACGCCAACAACAGTCGAGGCAATTATCATCCACTTATTGAAGCCAGAATTGTGTTCAAAAAACACTTGTTTAAACACTTAAACTTCCCTGATCCAAAGCGGACAACATCACGTATGAGCGTTGCGATGACCAAAATCAATTATCAACGCTTACGTAATCCGTTTTTATGTGAACATGAGAACGAGTGATAAATGTGTCCCTAACCCAACGCTTTGTTATAATTATTTGACCTCGACTGTTTGACCCCAACACAACACTTTCCCGTTATTTTCTCACATAAATGTGATTGTACTGGCTTGATAAGGGAACTCACCGAAAATATATGTTCGCCTAGAACCTGTGTTGTGATAATTATATATAGATATATATATATTCACTAAACACGGTGACCATTGTATATCAGATACTGTAGTGGGTGAGGACAGGTGGGCAGGTTACCAATCAGTGCTTTGTGAAAAAACATGTAAGCTAACCACCGTTCTGTATGAAAGCGATTCGAAATTTAACAAATTTGCAGCAATTTTCGATATCCTAACAACACATCAAAAGCGTCCACTCACAGCAGTCAACCAACTATCATGTTCGTGTGACTGGGTGCGGCTTCTGTTTAGTTGGACATATCAAAATGCTAGGATATTATAACATATTTATACCTGCACGTCACTCAGTTCTACCTATTGTGAGTCTCCGTTCCTATGATTCGTGCACTTGGGACTGTTCTGACTGACCGTTTACGCACGCACAAAACCCGTACGGACGGTGTGTTACTGTGCTTTGTAAAACTTCTGAGGGGGCCCTATCGTATCGGATGGAGTTGATGTCACTAGTGTGTGTGTGTGTGTGTTTCGTCGGACTGAATCAAGTTGTTAGAACGGGGAGAGAGAAGACAAATACTGCGAGTTGTTAACATGTCTTTTAATCTCTTCAGTCGCTACAACGAAAGACAGTCTGGTATTTATACAAGCAAATTATGATAACTCCAGTTATTCAACGGACAATGGTAAGAGTAGAGGGTGAGGGAATCACCTCCACAGCAGTCTAACTGATTGTATCACACAAGATTGGTTTACGTAGGTTGATTAGCATCACCGCACTAAACGCCAAGATCTTTTGATTCATGTTATGCAATAACGGCTTGAACGACATTTGTGGGTCAACAGTGTGTCCAGTTGTCATAAGATGTTTTGCGATTGATGACCCGGCATTTCTCTTATCAGGTTGACCTTCAAAACTGTGTTGTGTCATTGATTGTTCCAACCACATGGGCATGTGTTCGGACATCCATTGTGACAAGGGCCGATACAATCTTCTAATGTAAGTGTCACCGCAACTGCAGGTGAACTGGTAGACGACGATATGTGAACCAGAATTGTGCGGCTGGTTCTGTTTTCTATTGTCCAAACGAATTCCTTTGGTGTACAGTATCAATCAAAGCTGTGCGACAGGAAACGTTCAACACAGTGCCGTCTTGAGCTTTTGACGCAGGTCGTTCATTACGTNCCTTTAAAGGCGAGTCTGAGGGAGACGCTTTTCCTCGGTACTTCGTAGACGGAATCAACCGGTGACCTTCATCAAGTATGCACATCGAGAAATCCCTCTGAATAACCATGATACAGTAGCGTCCTTCGCAGAAAGGCATCCTCTATTTGAAGTGTCAGGAGAACAAATATTCCTGACTCGATGAGACAGTCTCCACCAGACCTATTTTGAATGCCACAGGAGTGAAACTAGCAAATTGTAAGCAATGTCCACTCCATGTAGTTTTGCATCGACGGGGCCAGTTCAGCTGACCCCTGTCGATACAGGACCTCCCCCTACCCGCTTCAAGTGTGCAAATACTGCTATTTGATGCCAGTCCTCCATCTGAAATGGAGGTTTCCCGGGAAATAAGTTATCTCAAACGAAATGAAGCTTCCGGCCCCGACGGGCTATCCTCATCGGTTTATAAGGATGGAGGCTCCGCTTTAGTCTTGGAGCCGACGAAACTCCTGGGTTCAACATGGGAAAGGGGAGAGGTTCCAGC